AGACTTTTTAAAATAAATCTTCCATGTCTCTAATTAACTTCTGAACATATGGGCTACAGTTATAAGAACTGCTTTTATGTATTTGTCTGCTAATTCTAACATCTGTTTCAGTTCTGGGTTGGTTTCAATTGGTCGGGCTTTTTCTTTATTGTGGGTAGTGTTTTCTTGCTGCTTTGCATGCCTGGTAATTTCTGACTGGATGCCAAACATTGTGAATTTTACCTTGTTGGGTGCTGGATATTTTTGTACTCTTATGCATATCCTTGAGCTTATTCTGGGATGCAGTTAAATTACTTGGAAACACTTTGATCCCTTTTATGTCTTGCTTTTAAGATTGTTAGATAGAACCAGAGTAGCATATAGGCTACAGCTAATGATTCCCCATGACTAAAGTAAGATAAATATGAGTCTTTTATCTAATTTTCTTTAAATAATGAGATATTTAAATCTGACTAGTGGGAACAGGCACTTTTCCCTGCCTTGTGTGAACATCAGGACTATTCCCTCTAATCCTCTTGGATGGTTCTGTTCTGGACTCAAGTAGTTTTCTCATTGTATGGGTTGCTCGGTGTAGTAGTTTCCCTTTACCCACAGGAAATTTTCCAAGACTCCCAGTGGATGCCTAAAACCTCAGATAGTACTGAGCTCTATATGTATTATAGACATATTTCTTTTTTCTTCTTCACAATTTCATTGATAGAAGATTTCATTCTTAGCATAAATCTTTAGCAGCCTCAGCATACGTTTTTTTCTTTCCTTATTAAGTCAAGAACTTTCATCTTTTTACTTAAAATAAATACTTTGTGACTGCTCTTTGGCATATCTAAATTGCCAGCATCTCCATATTTATGCTTTGGAGCCATTGCCAAGTAATATAAAGGTTACTTAACTGCAAGCACTGTGATACTTCAACATTCAATCTGTTAAACGAGACAGCTATTGACAGGCAGGTAGCAAGTACAGTGTGGATTATGCTGGACAAAGAGATGATTCACATCCTAGGTGGGATAGAGCAGTGATATGGTTTGGCTGTGTCCCCACCCAAATCTCATCTTGAACCATAGCTCCCATAACCCCCACATGTCATGGGAGGGACCCGGGGGGAGTTAATTGAATTATGGGGGTGATTTTTTCTCATGATAGTAAATAAGTCTCATGAGATCTGATGATTTTATAAAGGGCAGTTCCCCTGCACACACTCTCTTATCTGCTGCCATGTAAGATGTTCCTTTGCCCCTTCTTTGGCCTCCACCATGACTGTGAGTGAGGCCACTTCAATCATGTGGAACTGTGAGTCCATTAAACTTCTCTTTCCTTTATAAATTACCCAGTTTTAGGTATGTCTTCATTAGCAACCTGAGAACAAACTAATACAAGCAGGACGGTATGAGATTTCATCACATTCTTAGAATGGTGTGCAACTTAAAACTTATAGTTTATTTCTGGAATTTTCCACTTAATATTTTCAGAGCACAGTTGGCTATGGGTAACTGAAACAACGGAAAGTGAAACTGCTAATAAGGGGATACGCCTGTACTCTTATACTCTTCAGATCTCCGGAGTTTGTCTCTCTGCAACCCTCTTCTCTCCACTGTTTTATTCCGCTATCTATAGGCATCTTGGTATTCCTGGATTTTTATCCAACTTCTCAACTCAGAAAGTCACTGAGATGTGCCTGTGTCACTCCTCTCTACGCTGCCTGGAAGTCCTTTCAAGGCAGTGAGCTGAGGCAATTGTAGGGCTCACTTCATTTATTCCATGTCTCACAACGATCACTGTTCTCCATTTCCTGATGTCTGTCTGGTATCATAAAAAGCACTCTTTCACATATGTTGTCTGGGATTTTGGGCTGTTTCAAGTTGGGGGATAAATCCAATTCTTGTTACTTCTCTTTGCAAAAGCAGACATTTTCAGACTCTTTTGCCTACCCTTTCCACTCTTCACAACTGACTTTTCAGTTTCATGAGACCATCGATAAACATTCCCGTTCCCAGAATATTCAATAAAGGAGAAAGTCCTGCTGAATTTCCTCTGTAAGACTTAGCTAATAACCACACAGGGCCTAATCATAATCAGTTGTTTGAGAGGCACAAAAGATAGCTCTCTTATTTCTCTGTTAATGTGGTCAAGTAAAGTTAAGGGCAAGTATGTATTTCTGGGTAACTATAAAAAATTATGGCAAGTCCATGAGGCTATGCTATTATAAACATGGCTAAAAATGCACCGAAATGAATGCATTTGTGTGGCACCCCACAAGTCTTCCAACGCCAACGGAAAAGTTTAAGCACGATTAGAATCTTGGCTCAGTGACCTAGACCTTTTTATGTCAAAACTTTCTCCCTAGGGGTAAGTAAGGTACTTTCAAAGGACATCCATTCTTTGAAGTCAGTTAGAAAATTGCTGCTGCCATTTCAGTAGGCTTACAGAAATAATGTACAGCTGCAATGTGTTCATTATGCCAGGATGTAATTTACCCTTTCAGCACACACTGCTTCCCCCTGTGCATGCCCTGGTTCACGGGAGTTTGGGAATAACCAACTGTGATCCAGTTTCTACTGGGTTTCTCTCTGAATGTTCACACTAGGCATGAATTGTAAACAGATATTCCCTCTCAAATATTAGAGAGAACTAGTCACCAATGGTTCCCAGGGATTGGTCTGGGGGTAGAGGCATTAAAAATTGCTAACTTGACTCCCCTTCATTATCAGACATAATAGGATCCAAAAAGAAATGTTCAAATTTTATCTGGTTGTTTCTACATAGTTTTAAAAGCAATCAATATATCTACTGATCTACATATTCCCTTTTTAAATTTTTCTGAAGTAAAGGGCTTTAATGACCAAAAAGGAAAGGGTAGATGGGACTCATCAAATTGTTTCCCACTTCCTGCCACCAAGTATTCGTTTTAGTCCTGTTAAAGGTTTTGGACTAAAATAGAGCAAGTCACTGAAGCTCAATGCTCTCAGTTCTGTTGATACCAAAGCAGTGATGATGTTCTATTAGTTCATCAATAAATGCAAAATGCAGAGTTGTTCATGATTATGTTTGTGTGCAAACTTGCAAGTACACAGACACACCAGGACCTACTTGACAAGTACACAGACACACCAGGACCTACTTGACAAGTACACAGACACACCAGGACCTACTTGACAAGTACACAGACACACCAGGACCTACTTGACAAGTACACAGATACACCAGGACCTACTTGAGGCAGTAGAAGAACAGGCTATGGAGGGAAACAGAGATAGACATTTAAAAATGTCTCTTTAATTTATTGCAGTCTGCTTACTGCCTCATGAGATCAAGATTCCTGCTCATTAAACAATCAACCTTTACTCATTTGCACAACAGAACATAAAGTCTATTTTATCAGTTTACCCCCAAAAAAACCTGTTTAATTCTTTTCAATACTTGGGAATGATTCAGTTAAAAAGGGCACAGATAAAGGCAGCTTTATGAAGGTGATAAAATGTAATCCACAATGCCCACATGACATCATTTGAGCAGATGTTTGTACCATAATATATAAATGCAATGAGATTTAAAATCTCATATGAAAAATTCTGGACTTGATTTATTCTGGGCTTTGATATTATAGCAATTTAACAGGAAGCTGTGGACCAATAGTTGGATACAGGATGGAGAAATTGTCTGGGTTCTGGGTTTGAAGTTGACATCATTACTCTACTGTACATTTTCTGGCTTTGGTTGCCTTAATTTGGTATTGATGGCTGGCAAAGAGCCTCAGGTATTTAAACAAACCTTACCTGCAATAAAGTCTGGCTCAGAGACTGTCATTTTGAATTCTACTTTATTCTGTGTTATTTACTTCTTTGTCGCAATTATTCAAGAAGGATACACTCATTAGGTAAGTGATTTCCATTTGCATAAGCACAGTGGTTAAAAAAATTGCAGGTATGTGTTTCCCAGGTATTATGCAGTAAGACATCTGGAGTTAATTATTTGCATTGTCTTTTTAGAAACAGTTTGAGAACTGTTTTCACGCATGCAAGCAGAGATAGCATGTCATAATGGCTTAGGGCTCAAAGTTAAGGCCGCTGCATCCTTTATAACAGATGTGCAAAGACTTACTTTCCAGTTTCTTCTTACTCTTCCACCTGGTTACCCAGCATTTGTACTTCAAAGGTATTCTAATCAAACTATTCAAAGAGTTTAGCATCAAATATGATGTCTCCAGGGAGGTATGATTTAGAGAGTCTGGGATTCTATCAAAAACCACTCCATGGAAACTTTCCTTTTTAGCTTAATGTCATATCTGCGTATGAGGGAATAGCTACCATGAGCTTGTGTGATCACTGAAACAACGACGTTTATGTAAAAGGCCAGGCAGTTTTCTAAATCTTATAGTTGAAAGCGTGAAGGGTAATATAATTTGCACTTTCGGGTTTTAGAAAGTGGAATGTTGTTTATGCGTTTTGCATTGTCATTGCCTTTAGGACTTGTGCTTGCTGGCAAAGCTATATTCTACAATCATATATGCTGCCTCCCAACAGGAGCATTATTCAGATTCCTGCTTTTGTTTTTGTTTTAAGCAAAAATAGGAACTAGTTCAAGGTTAAAAAAAAAATGAAAACATAAAACATGGAACATTTCTTATTTATGCTGCATGATAGACCCATTCAAAGACTTATAAATACATTGGCAGTATACAATACTCCATTCTGGCTGTCTGATCAGCAAGTCCAAAATCAACTCTTTATGAAGTTTAAGATGAAAAATGACAAGTAGAAAAAGAAAGAGTATAGAAAACATTTGTGATGGAGAAAGTATGGTGAAGGAGAAGAGATACAACAATAATTTATAAATTATTAATAAAGGAATAATAGTACCCTTTAAATATAGTGAAGGGCTTTTTTTTTTCCAGGATATAAGAGTGTATGAACAACCACTATTTAAATTTTGGGTATGATTCTAACAAGCCTGCATTAAATTGCACATTTTATGGAAAAATGTAATGAGAATAATACTCTTACCATCTGTTTTCTTTGAATCATTTCCGATGTTAGCGTGATCCTTCTTGTCTGTCTGATTTTTACTATCTTTCAAGTCACCTGAAAGTAATAAACATGACAAACAGTATATGTATACAGCTGAGGGCGGTGCTGTAAATACTTTTAAACCTGTCAAGGTTAAAAAAAAATGCAGCGTAATTTTATAGTCATAAGGGTCTATGTGTCTGAGTGTAAATATGTTTTGTAATCACATGTTAGGTCCTGTAAATTGGATTGTGATACAGAAACTGAGGCTGAAAGTTCTTGTTAAACAGAGCTATAGTTAAGTCATGTGTTTGTCTTCTAAGAGAAGCAGTTAAGATTTACTGTTAGGCTGTGGAGTGAGGAGAAACTGGAGCTAACTGTAAGTTCTACCAATTAATAGCTATTTAATGTCTCTGTGCTTCAGTTTTCTTATCTGCAAAATTGATACATTAATACCTACCTTACAGGCATATTGGATACATTAGAAGGCATATCACTCGATACAGTTGTTATTATTCTAAAATGGAGCTATAAATGGTATTTTAATAAATGAGCTTATCAAAATGTAATTTGTAAAAGTTGTAAAACATTACCCTTAGAAAGAATATGTGTCAAATATGTATTTAACCCACTTATGAGGGAATAATAAGAAGGTTCCAAAATACTGGAGCTGGGTATTTACAGATATTTCCGAAACACGTTTACTAGGTTAATGACAAAACTGGTTATATCCTACAGGGCAATAAAACCAAAACTTTGGCGGTTATCTTCTCTCTCAGTCAAAAATCTATAAATTAGCATGTAACTTCACAGGACCTAGGCATGAATCAAATAGTATATAAAGTTAAACATAGTCATGTTCTTCAAGAGTAGCAGTTACTGGATCAATGGTGCCTGCCACCGATTATGGCAAATAAAATTTTCCTGAAACATGGCTACATTTATTCATTGACATATTGTCCATGGCAGCTCTCATGCTGCAACAGTTGAATTCAACAGTTGCAAAGAGACAGGAACAGCCAGAAATATTTTCTACCTGGTTCTTTGCAGTAAAATAGTGCTGCACCCCTATCTAAAATAATTTAATAATCCTAGGGCATGTGTGTTCAACAATATCCCAGTATGACATGGAAAGGTCAGGGACCTCTTCCCCCACCCTTATTTTCAAGTGTTGAATATTTTCTTACCAGTCTTACCAATGGAAGCTTTCTTTTTAGCCTGCATAAAACCAAGAATATGTTCTCACTCAAATACTGGTACTTACTGAAGACAAAAAATCCGAATAGTAATTGAAGTCAGCTGGGCCTCTAACGTATGTGTATGAGGGACAGGGTTTACTCTTTTTTACTTTATTTGTGCCAGGCAGTATGCTAAATGCTTTTTGAGAACTGTTTTGATGCATGCAAGCAAAGACAACATGTCATAATGGCCTAGGGCTGAAAGCTAACCTCTTTCGCTTTCAGCTTCCTTTACATGATGCTTCCTTTATAATAGATGTGCAAAGAGTTACATTCCAACTTCTTCTTACTCTTCCACCTGGTTACCCAGCATTTGTTCTTCAAAGGTATTCTAAGTAAACTACTCAAAGAGTTTAGCATCAAATATGGTCTCCAGGGAGGTATGATTTAGAGAGTCTGGGATTCTACCAAAAACTACTCCATGGAAACTTTCATTTTTAGCTTAATATCATGTATGTGTATGAGGGAATAGCTATCATGAGCCTGTGTGATCGCTGAAACAACGACATTTATGTAAAAGGCCAGGGCAGGTTTCTCAGTATTGTAGTTCAAAGCGTGAGGGGTAATATAATTTGAACTTTCAAGTTTTAGAAAGAGTAGAATGTGCATCATTTTATTAAATCTTATAATAGCCCCATTATAAAGGTACTATTACTGAAAGAAGACAACTTCACCAAAGATTCCTTCACTAAATGTCCAATTTGTAAAATTTGATGAATAACCCACTCGCCAAATGACCGAGGATGTGTTTTAAGTTTGAGTTTTTTGGTCAACGTTCCTGCAGCCAGTTAGACAAACATGAGCCATTCCATCTACGTCAAGGGGCGTGGGCTACCGCACTCTCATGTTTCATACCCCAACCCTGAACTCCCATCTGCCCCAACTTTGCACCTGGATTTCCCTCTTGCGGCAAAACTGCCAAGTTCTCAACTACAGTATTTGCAACTTCTCTATGAAGCTCAAGTCTTAGATTTCAGACTTCTGTTTACTGTTTCCCTTTCTAAATGCCTTTGGCCTATGAATTTATAAAAAATGATTATCTAAGGATGATTCATAACCATTTGGGGCTGTGATATATTCTACAAAGTACATATTTTTAATGGAATTTGACAAACGCTATGCTAAGCTAGAAGTCAGTAAACTCTCCAGATTCCCTCTCATTCTGAAATGGGATGGACTGTGATATGGTTTGGCTATGTTCCCACCAAAATCTCATCTTTAATTGAACCTCCCATAATTCCCATGTGTTGTGGGAGAGACCCAGTGGGAGATAATTGAATCCTGGGAGCAGTTTCCCCCACACTGTTCTTGTGGTAGTAAATAAGTCTCACGAGATCTGATGGTTTTATAAGAGGAAACTTCTTTTGCTGGGTTCTCATTCTCTCTTGCCACCATCATGTAAGAAGTGCCTTTCACCTTCCACCATGATCGTGAAGCCTCCCCAGCCAAGTGACACTGTGAGTCCATTTAACCTCTTTTTCTTTATAAATGACCCACTCGGGTATGTCTTTATCAGCAGCATGAAAATGGACGAATACAGACTGGCAGCAGGGCGCCATGGCTCACACCTGTAACCCCAGCACTTTGGGAGGCTGAGGTGGGTGGATCTCCTGAGGTCAGGAGTTCAAGACCAGCCTGTCCAAAATGGCAAAACCCTGTCTCTATTAAAAATACAAAACTTAGCCAGGCATGGTGGCAGGTGCTTGTAATACCAGCTACTCAAGAGGCTGAGTCAGGAAAATCACTTGAACCCAAGAGGTGGAGGTTGCAGTGAGCCGAGATTGCACCACTGCACTTCAGCATGGGTGAGAAGAGTGAGACTCCATCTCAAAAACAAACAAACAAACAACAACAACTACTACAAAAAAAGAAAAAAACAGACTGGCTGGAAGAATTGAGAGGCAGGGGAGTCTACTCTGGCCAGGGTCCAAACAGGAGAATTTTAAGTCGAAGATATGGTCATCACCTCCTCCACCACCAAAAGAAAAGAAATCCTTCATAAGTCCCATGAAACAGTCCAAATACTGGCTTTTCTCTATCTTAAGGATGCCAGAGGTAGACTCAAGGATCTTGAGCCCTATAGTCAAACCAGTTCCTTCTAGTTCCTTCTTCCCTCAATGAACCTCCACACTCCTAATGCATGCTTTTTAAGCCTGCTGGTTGCTCTGAAAAACAGCTGCAGCAACACCAGGATGCCTTCTAGAAGTTGCAGAGATGTTTTCTTTGGCTGGTTGCTAGCCAGCAGCGGCCCATGGTGGCCCCTTTTCTCAGCCAGGGATGGGGAGGTTGTGGAAGTAATCTTGACACAGAGAAAAGATTAGAGGATCATGTCACTGCCAATGGGTGCCCAAACTTCGAGCAACCCCTTCACTAACATCCTTCAGCTCTAACTTGGAAGATATCCTGTGCACCCCACAAAGAAGGGTGCCAGGACAGTGACACATGCTTGTTTGATGATGTTCCCCAAGTAAAACCCATTAGCTGATTTTCCCATGGGTTGTGTCCAGAGTAACGGCTGATGTGAGGTGTTACTCAATAAACGGGGGGAAGCAAAAGAGACTTTCTGTGCAGCTATAAATCATTTTAATTAGGCTGCCGTAGTACAGTCCCAAACCACCATTAGCCTTTCTTATTATTGCTCTAAATTGATTTCTTTTCTCACCTCTCATCTACTGCTTACTTTTTAAGGGAAATGGTAGACTGTTGCTTATTTCAGAAAATAAGCACAGTCGTGAAATCCAGCCAGCCTCGTTGAAGACTCAGACTCCTGTTTTGTTTCTTTCAGGCTTTCCCCTAGCCAACTTCAAAATGAATTATTATCTCCACATCTGCCCTCTCTGGGTCTTTGTTTCCTCTGGTAGAATTCATATCCATCTTGGTGACAATCTCAATGACAATGTCATTGGCTTATCTGTGTTCACTGGTTGCTCCCACTGACTAGACCTGGGGTTGGCAAACTGTGGCCCATGGGTCAAACCTGGACCTACTGCCTGGTTTTTCATGAGCTACAAACTAAGAATGGCTTTTACATTTTTAAATGGTTAAAAGAAGACAAATATTTTATGACATATGATATTATGGAGAATTCAATTTGTAATTTCTATAAATAAAGTTTTATTGGAAAACAGGCTCACTCATTTGTTTGCATATTAACTGTGGCTGCTTCAAAATGGTAATGTTGAGTAGCTGCAATAGAGATCTAATGTCCTGCAAAGCCAAAAATATTTACTATCCTGTCCCTTATAGAAAAAGCACACCAACCCCTAGAATAAGTAAACTGTAAACCTCTTATAAACAGCAGTTAAGCTTGCATATTTCTCTGATTGCCCCTCTCCCTGAAGGCACCAAACCACTGAGACATGCTGGTTACAGAACAGAGCACTGAGACTCACACAGATCAGAGTTTAACCTGAGATCTCTACTTAATGATTGCTTGACTTTGCACAAGTGATTTCATCTCTCTGAGGCTCAATTTTCCCACCCACAACATGGGAATGGGTGTTTCTACCTCATAGATGTTAGAATTTTTACATGATGTAATGTAGGTAGAATCTCAAGTACAATGTCTGATACATGTTAAGCATTGAATAAAATGGTAGTGTTATTGTTATTGCTGCTTTTACAAAAGGAAACACATTTCTAGCCCACTCTGTTACAAGAAAAAGCAGAGGAAAGAAGCACACGTTGCCTCTCTCATCACCCCTTACATGTTCCTCTTTTGAGAGGAGTGATTATTTATCTAGGCGGTAGGGTTGACCATGCACAGTCTGGCTCAGCCATCCACATCCCAGCCTGTTTTGAGATATGTTTTCTATAAGACACACACCTTTTCTGCCACTTTAGAAGCAGCCTGCCAGGGTGTTGGGGTGAGATACGAGTCCTGTACCTGGCTCTACAGTGTCTGGCTGGGTAAACTCATTTCAGAGCAAACCTGTAAAGAAGCCCATGTGCTCAGCAGACCAACTCTGTGTTTCCCAAGTCAGCTCCAGTTGCAGCGGAGCTGATGTCTCCATCACTGACTTCCTGATTTTGTTACCTATCTCTCAGTTGGTTCAGACCTCAGAAGGGGTAGCAAGGAGGGGCCTGCACTATCTGTTAAAACATTAACAGGTACATCATAGATTCTTTAAAAATTTTTGCATGAATGTATTTTTTTAAAGTTTTTATTTCCATAGATTTTTGGGGAACAGGTGTTGTTTTGTTACATAAGTAAGTTCTTTAGTGGTGATTTGTGAGATTTTGGCATACCCATCACCTGAGCAGTACATACTGAATCCAATTTACAGTCTTTTATTCCTCATCCTTCTCCCACCTTTTCTCCCAAGTCCCCAAAATCTATTATATCATTCTTATGCCTTCACATCCTCATAGCTTAGTTCCCACTTATGTGTGAGAACAAATGATGTTTGGTCTTCCATTCCTGAGTTACTTTATTTAGAATAACGGTCTCCAATTCTATCCAGGTTTTTGAAAATGCCATTATTTCATTCCTTTTTATGGCTGAATAGTATTCCATTATATGTTTTTAGGGAATCAGCAGGAACTGGATAAGCAGAAAAGCCTCACCCTGTGAGGTGTCCCCATCATTGGGGTTGTTTGCCAGTTTCCATTCGTCATGCCATTAACTCCTCAAAAACAGCCCTTCACCAAGTGCAATTCTACTCACCATTCTGTTGCTGTTCTCCTGACGATTTCTCAGCTTTGGAATCTTTCCCATGAGGGTTGTCACTTTTGTGTGCCCGTGTTCCACTGACTTGATTCCTAGCTTCTCCAGACATCTCTTTCTCAGCTTTACCAGATGTGCCTTCCTCAGCCTGCCTTTTGGCTTCCATTTCCTTTTGCTGCTCCTCTGCAGCCAGGCGAGCCTTTTCTTCTGCTTCCTTCTTGGCCTTCTCCTCTGTATCCATGACAAGTCGGGAAAGGCACCGAAAAGAGAAAAAGAGGGCATGCTGATAGGAGAATGACCTGTTTTAATGCACAAAGAGGATCTATGGGGTTTACTGAGTGTTTGGGTACATTTCTGCTTAATTCATCAGATTGCCATGTATTTAGGAAACCAATAAAATAGGTTCATGATGATGTCATTCTGAAAATACTGAGTGAGAGGATGGGGCAGGGAGAAAATAATAATAAGGATAGTAATTAATAAACCAATATTGGAATAGCATTATGAATGTCATCATTATTAATAGCTTCTATTGAATTTGTTCTCTATGCCAAGTGTTATGCTGTGTATTTTTTGTGGGGTACTTATTTTCATCCTCAAGACAACTTTACAGCAGTTACTATTACTGTGACTCAATTTGACAAATGCGGAAATGAAGTCTCAGAGACATCACAAAACTTTCCCATCACCTCAGTACAAACTGCAGCTTCAAATGGTTTTGCTTAAGACCTAGGGTTTTAACACAAACAACTGATTACAAAAATAAAGTGAAAATATCCAACACTAGAGCAATTGAAGACAAACACACTGAGGACACTGCTTATGAGTTTAAAAGAAGGAAGAGGATAATTGAGCCTTATGAACAAAAAACACAGTCTTCAAACTATCCACAAGATAAGAGTTTGGCCAGGTACCTGGTCTGTGTCCTCCCTTTTAGTGAAATGATACTAGCATTATTTCCAATCCAACTGATTACAAAGGGCTTGGCTTTGTGCTTAGTTAAAAGCACAGCAGAATCGCATAGGTTAAGTATTTATGAAGAGACTGGTTCACTCATCCAACTCATGTTTGTTGAGCAGCTAGAGTGTCAAGCACTATTTTAGATACAAGGAATACAGCAGTGAGCTAGTCGATTTATGGAGAAGAGATCATAGTTAAGTAAATAAATAGATACTTGCAGACTGTAAAAAGTGCTTTGCAGAAAACTAAAACAGAGTAACACGATGGAACACAGTTAGCATAGGGGAGGGGACTGCATTAGACAAGGAGGTGGAGAAGGCCTCCTTGACAAGGTGACATTTAACCAAGTCCTAAATTATGACGAGCTGGCCATGCAATAATCTGGAAAAACAGTATTTCAGGCAGAGGAACTAGAAAATGCAAAGGCCATGAGGTAAAAATGAGCTTGGTATGTTCAAAGAACTCTGAGTATAGTTCAAGTAAATTTCATAAGGGCTTAGCAACAGATGGTGTTCATGACAAGCAGGGTTCAGATTCTGCAGGGCCTTGGAGGCAATGAGGTGGGCATTGCATTGTGGAGAATAACCTACACAGAAGCCATTTAACAGAGCCCAATCCTCCCAAGGTTCTAGAGGCCCATTCCATGTAGCACTTAGTTCACTCCAAAGACCTTCCAGCCTGTGCCATCAACTGCCATTGAGAAAAGCCTTATTACATTTTTCTGTAGATGTGTTTAAAATTCCCCATACTTCATTACCAGGTGTCTTATTTATTTCCTTTGTGTTAGCCTTGGTCCTGGAAAAAAAGCTAACTCTCCTAGGTAATATATTTGTTTTTAATCTCATGGATATCAGAATGACTATGCATTTATCATGTTTCTGTTTGTTTTGGCTGCTAAAGAGCTCAAAGCCCATATGTGGTCCAGGTTCACATGTTCACGAGGCTTTATGACATGCATTTTGTGGAAGTCTATGATGTCTGTTTAAGTCTACTTTTCCTGCCTTCGTATTTCCTTACCTGTCTTCCTTAATATATTATGTTTTCATTCATTGATCCATCCATCCATCAATCCATCCATCCTTTCATCCATCCAAGCCAATGCCCTACCTTCATCTCCAAACAAATTAAATAAGATTCGGGAGAAAGAGGGGCAAGAATAGGATATTATTGAGTGTTTTCCAGGTGGTTTAGACATACAGAGTTGAGAAGCAATGATTTAAATGTTAAATGTTTGCCACTGAGTATTTAATGACATTCTACTGTCCAAAAGAATGTATTTATAATTTACACTGAAAATGTAAGAAAAGATCTCTTTACAAATAACATAATTATGTGCATGTAATGTATAAATGTCTTCCAGCCTTTATAGAAAGGTGCAACTACAGAGTGAAAGAATGCTCTTGCAGAAGAATATGGTCAGATGGCATTCTCAGTATGATGCGTGACCACAGAAAGTCCCCTGGAATGTTCACTCAGGCTTTATCCTTCTTCAGTCACTCATCCTTCTTCAGTGACTGAGGTTGGGGTTTAAACGTCATCTCTGTTACTGAATTCCCAGTGCTTGGCATGGTGCCTGGTGCATAGCATACACTCATGAAGTATTTGCTCATGAAATGAAATGTTTCCTATGGGAGTGATTTATCCTATATGCCAGTGTAAATTTATTCGTATGTATCTTCATCAGTCTTCAGCAATCCAGACAGACATAAAATACAGAAAGTATATAAACTCTAAGTCTTGTTATAGAAGAATAGTCATCTGCCAAATGTCAGTTTCCTTAGCCAATAATGTAGGTGAATAAAAAGATGACCACTTTTGCTACAGAGTGGGAAACTGAGGGAAGGAAAAGGAGAATTCATTCATATTCAGAACCTGGTATCAGTTTTAGAAAATAATTTATAACCCCCTGACAGAATCCCCACTGAATCCATGGCAAATTTTCAATATTCAAAATGACCCCAAGTTGAAAGTATTTTTGATAAAAACTGAAGGTGTTAAATTCTGGTTTGCAATAAAAGAGTATAAAATATTATCTGAGCAAGAAAAATTCATTTGACAACTGAGTCAGACCAATTTTCTATGGGAAATCTAGCAAAAAACATATAAAAAACTGGTAGTAGGGGTACATTTCAGAAACAAATTTGGTTTTCTTCTTAACTGTAGTTATCAGGCAATTAATGCTTACATGAATGAATGGTAGCCCTTCTGACATCATGATCAAACCAGTTATGAGCCTACCCTATTGTATGAATCCTCTACAGCAATCACGTTACAGTAAGTGTTCCTGCAACTTTTCTACTCAACTTCCATCTCTTCCTCACATCTCTGAGATAGCTGGCGTTAGTGTGATCAACTGCATGACAATCAAGGTGATACAACTCAAAAGTTGTAGACTGAAACAAGCAAGCACATAAATAAGAAAAAACAAAATACATTGGCAGGAGGTAGGTCTTTTTAACTGAAGTCAGGTTCCTTTTTATTCTCTGGGTGAAATTATTAGTATGGATGAAATTTTCCCACAATGAGAAAAAGGAGTTGAGAACAGTTATTTTGCACACGCTCACAGGCTCCAATGACAGCATGTATACAGAGAATTTGCTTTTCAGGTCTTAGATTTGACATCTACTAGGCTTCTAGACTAGTAGAAAGCAAGAGATGTGTGGTTCAATTCTGTTTCTTTTGGGTTCCCATGACAGACTCTCTGTGGTGTTGGGACTTGCGATAAAAACAGCCAATAGCAAGCAGCTAAGAGTTAAGACAGACAAAGCCCTCAAGATCCATAAACTTCCTTCCTCCCAGTGGAGAGCTGGTTCTATCCCACACTGCATGTCCATACAGCTTTGGGGAAATACTATGATGTCTTTATTTAATTTGCCTTCCTGAATAATGATACTATGGGGTCTCAATTAAAAATTGTATTGGACTAATTATCTCTTGATATAATTTTCTGAAATGCCTACTTATACTACCTACAACCAGAGAGAGAAGGAGAGAGAGAAAAGATTGAAAAGAAAGAGAAATTGACCAGAAAACCCAAAGTATTACATGAATTTTCACTAGTCAAATCTCAGTTCTATACAAGAACAAAAGAAAGGTGCTTCTAGACATTTAAGAACTTAGAAGGTGTTCCCACTTCCTGAAAATTTTAGTCAAAGAAAAAACTTCAGTCAACATCAAAAACTCAAAAATGAGAAAAATATGTAAATGAATGATTCTTTACATGTTGTAAATCACGATATTCAGAATCAGAATAAAATACTCAAAATAGAAAGAGAAAGGTCAAATACAAGACAATATTATATTATAATTCCAATTTATCTTATACATATGTACAGAAAAGCAAAATACAAAGAATTACACTGGAATTTTATTAATAATGATATATATCTGGAGAGGTAATAATTTTCATTTTCTTTTATATATATATATTTTATATTTCAGCATGTGTAACTTAAACACATTAGTCTAATACCAGAAAAATAAATGTTAAAAAAAGTACTAACTACTGAACAGAAATTAATCAATATCGATCAGATTTAAAAACTATGTTCAATATATCTTTAATTGGGAATAGTGATTTTTTAGCTCTAAGGGCTATAAAAATATTTATTTAATCTTTCCTAATAATGATCAGTTCTTGCCTACCTAGTTTTGTAATCAGGTTGGTTAACAAAACCAAGACAAATTTCCAATGCATTTATTAACATACATATTCAAGTGCCCCATTGAGGACAGCCTTGGGAAATCAGGGTCATCTGGGGAAAAAAAGAGTAACAAACAAAGTAGCCACCACCAACAAAAACAGATGTGCATTAGATCTTTCATTAGCACCAGTCAACCAGTAACAGCATCACCGAGCTGCTGAGAATGTTATAAAATATTAGTTATAGGTTGGTATCTTATCAACTTTGTATTCAAACCTCTAACCTTCTTTTCCAATTTGTATAAATAGCAGCTACTACTTAGGCACCAACCTTGTGCAGGCTCCTTTCTTAGTGCTTTATAGGTATTATTTCTTCTCTTCACCTCAATTCTGTGATGTGCATTATCATCCCCAAAGTGAATCTCAAAGAACCTTATCTGAATTTGCCAAAGAAAAAAAAAACAAACCCTTGCAAGTCGAGACTCAATTTTCTCTCTCCTTCCCTGCTAACTGAAATGTGCCCTGGTAACCAAACTATTCTCCCACAAAATATCCATAACCCGAGGCTCTGAGCCTTTGCCAACCCCTTTCTCCTTGTTCTTATTTCTAAATACAACACCTCCTTCAGGTCTCAATCCCAGGACTCCTGCTACCTGATGCCTTCCCAAACACCCAAGCAGGGCTACAGAAAACCACTTCGTGCTTCTGAAACATCTCTATCCCCATACCTAAGACATTTCAAAATTGTTAGCTGTTTATTTACCCGTTCTTTTTAAAGGGCCAGTTTTCCCCTGAAACTGTCAAATGCTTCCCCAGGTGATTAGTTTCAGAAGGTAATTTTAGCAAGCCAGATAATTGCAAACAAATTATTTTGAAGTACCTCTTTAAATTGCATGTTGTCAGAAATTGAATTTTCAAGTGTAATGAGTGTAATTGATTGTAAGAGAGTGTTTCTTTGGAGATGATGCAGTAGCTGCCATTGCTGCTTGCAATGCCTGCCAGCCGGGAGGATTCAAACGTTTAAAGCATTTGAATGAACTAGGAGAGGGTGTGTTTAAAATATAGAAGAGGTGTTGGCTCCCTCCACAGCTCAGGGTGCAACCTCTGTCCTGAAATGATAAGGGTTCAATTATGCCCTAAAAGTGCCATAAATATAAACCCCTTGCCTCACCTGAAGTGAGCAGCCACTTGAACTGAATTTTATAGACAAATCACAAAGTTGGACAGAATTTTGTGGACAAGCCTTTGAATAACTACAACAGTGAGGCTGTTTCTTTCCTACACTAGAAGCAGAACCCCCAGCCCCCACCCCAATGTATGGAAACCAAGACTGCCAGAACATGTTCTCACCCACAGTCCCCACCCTTCTCACCTGGTGTACTGATCACCAGGACGGTAAGAATGTGAGATGTTGCGTTTGGGGAGGGGATGTTGTATTTGGGAAGAAGATGTTGTATTTTTGTCTGATGTGAGGGCTTAGGGCTTAGGCTGGTGGTGCTGGTGACAAACTCAAGGCTTTGACTGAATTTACGTTCTTCATTTGAATGAAACCCTGTAGTAATGTCTCTTCCCTTTCCCTGCCACAAGACTGCGAGCTTTGAGGGTGGGATGTCTGTTACTCATCTCCGGCACATAGTAGGCACACAATAGATGTTAGCAAAAACTGACTCTTGTTGAAGGCTCACCTCCATGAAGCTTACTGGGAACAGTCCTCTCACTGAGCTCCCAGAGCCACCAACGTCTGTGTCCCTACCTGGAATCAGCCATCACAGTGTCAGACCTCTTAGCTCAGATTTGTACTACCTGTACTAGGGCCTCCATCCCTAGCGTGATCATGTAGTACATGCTCAATAGTCACAAATGCACATATAAACAAAGCAAGCTAAGCTTCCAAAATCATACGAATTTCCATCTTTTCTGCTGATATTACCAAGGGCCTCAACTTTCAGTTTTGATGATGTCTGCTTCAGGGAATTTCTGTTTACCGACAATTTACCATCATCTCAGAAGATCAGTTACATGGTTTGAGCAATGAGTGAAGGGAAATTGAGAATATGAAAGGAATATAAAATGCCTATAATAAAATTAAAGCACTTCATATTCCAATATAATGGCCAAAGCAAGGTGGCTCTTAGTGGGTCTTTACTTAGGTAAAAGAAGAAATTAAAGCCTCATAGTTGTGCCACATGACATCAGACGAAAACAACAAGATGGTTTAGCAGAAACCAAGAACTAAACCCTCACCTCCTGTAGAGTCTTCACACCAGAAAAAGGAGTTTAGTCCCACAGCATAAAGAGCATGATGCCAGGAGCCCTGCAGGTCTGCTGTATTTTATCATGCATTGATTGTTAGATATTACAAATATCAAAAGATGGCAGATTCTAATAATCAGCAATTAGAATCTGCATCGTGAGCCACTGTGCTTTATTTGCAACACACGTAACTCAGGGAGGACAATCTTGTTTATATGAGTGGGTACTGAATTGGTTTGGACAGGTCTGTGGTATGTTACCTTTGGGCACCTTGGCTCTCCATCTCTCCCGATTAATGTGCACCACTTCAGTCCAAGTAGCTTTAAAGCTCTTATAGTCAATGGGGATGACGGAATTGTTGATTGGGGCACTTCCCTCTGAACCAGAGCTCTTGACACCTGATCGCTTGGCATCTGACGAGCTGATGCTATTCAAACTGGAGAACAAAATATGATACCAAAGAAGAGAGTTAGTGTTTGGAAAATGTCTTCCAATGAGCAAGCCCAGGGGAGGAGTGGGTAGTAGTCATCAAGTTATCGCTGTGAAATTTCTGGGTCCTGATGTTTATTCTATTTTCCACATATGACAGGTGGGAAATTCTGAATTTTCATCAGGAAAAATATCAGCATTGCAGTCTCAAGAGTCTCCATATTCTTCATATTTCTTCTTTGCTGACTGGCCTCTTCTCTTTTCTCAATAACCAGAATCCCCTCACTTGAATCTTCTCTGCTCTATTCTCTGAAACTGATCAATTTGAACTGGGACATCTACTTAACTCCACAGTTCACCCACCTGCTTCCACACTGACCACTTTTCCAAGTTACCTAGTAACTTGCTCCTCTTTCTTTCCAGCTCTGCCCGTCCCCTGCAAGGGTCTTTCTGATCCCAGGATCCCCAAGTCCAGGAGAAGTGATAATTTCCATAAGTTGCTGGGAGAAGAGGGAAATGCAGACAGCATGGAATTGTGGGAGACTATGTCATGCAAAAGACCTGATGGGTAAGTTTGTAAATATTAAAAAGTACCCTCTTTCTGGAAAACTTCAAAGAAGTAACTGCTGCTACCAAGCAGCTAAAGCAGTCACTGGTAGGAACACAATTCATGATGGACTACACAAGCAGAATGTTTCAGCCAGTGCCTGAAGAGCTGTGAGGCCACGGGGACTCTGGCCGGGGGCTCTGTCCTCCTTGTTAGCAACCTTAAGAGGGTCCATCCATCTGAAGCACCCCTGGGGTCCCCCTGTCCTAACATTTTTCTTTCTTTTGCTTCTCCTTTTTCTATTCATTCCATTTCTCTTCTTCCTTTTTTTAATGACAAAGCCCAATGTTTTACGTGAACAAGGAGATTAGCAGTGGTAGTAATAGTAGGGGTATATCTAATAAAGACTAAGAGTTAGCTTTATTGTAGCTAGCACTTCCTCTGTTCTAGACCCTGTTGTAAGGTTTAACATAGATTGAATAACTTATTTAATCTTTGCAGCCACCTCTGAATATTGTAATACATGTTTTCTCAGATGAGGGAAGTGAGAAAATTTGCCTGAGATTTCACAGCTAGCAAATGCTGAGGTCAGGAGGTTTTACTCTGGTATTCTGACTCCAGAGCCTGTACTGTTTAACTACTGATCTACCCTTGATATAATGATGTGGTGGGAGAAGGTGATTTTGAGCTTTTGATTCTTTTTCTCTACTTTGTTCTTTGTGCAAACCTTGAAATGAAAGTCAGTTTCCTTTCTTTGTAAGTACTCTTGATGAGTGGTACTGTCTTTGTGGAATATTACAGGAGCAAAAACTGTCTGGGCACAGCAGGTAAACATGCAGCAAATGGGGTGTGGAGGGGCAGCACCAGGTGCCTGCTGTTATGATTTAGACATTAGTCACTCCTTACAGTTTAGCGTGGATAGTACAGGTAACAGAATTTCAACTCCTCTGATAAAAGGAAAGAGATAGACAAAGTTTTATGAGAAGGAGCTAAGACAAATGTCTGTGAAATACCATCCCCATACCCTGCAAAAGAAGAATTCTATCCTCATCGACAGGCCAACCTCACCCCCAAGCCCTCAAGTTTCTCCACTGACCTGGAACGCCTCTGTCCTGCCCCGCCAGTTTGAGAAGTTTCATCGATTAGTGGACTCACAATCTTCTCGGTCATGTCGGTAAGCACAGTGAAGGTGGGTTCCACGATGAAATCAATGAAACCTGAAGATAAACAGCAGTGCTTCAGAGGAACCACATATTACCCTGGGCCTTTCCATACTTTCCAGAAGAAACTGATCTGGAAGCTGCAGATCACATTATAAGAGAACTGATTGATCTTAATCGCTTTATATATTTCTTGATTTGAATATTACATGTCAGTTTCATTTCTCCTACATAGCTTCCTATGACTTTTCAGGGTAGTTCAACAAAGTGCCTAAGAAAGACATACGCAATACCCACTACAGAACAAGCACTGTGAAGAATGAATAATACAACCTGCCTGGAGTTAAGACATTTGAGCTGAGCCCTTGAGAATGGGTGGAGACTCAATGTCTAAGACAGCCTGCTTCCTTTGCTTGCATCCCACAAACTATTTCCCTCATCCTATTGACTGCAGCAAATATCTCCTTAGTTGATGAGACCGTGTTTACCTCCCTTTAAAACTCTACCTATCCTGAATGGTCTGTCATTGTCTGCCTTTAAAATCCCTCCTCTTTTTCTTCCTCTATTCTGTAAATAATGATGGGGCTAATCTATACCCAAAAGTGAGTTATGCTCACTTTAAAAAATACTTCCTCAGTACTTTGGAGAAAATACCAAACAAAAATGCCATTTTCAAAGAGGTGTATTTTTTCTTTTAGAATGTAAGCTCCTCAAGAGCAGGGACAATGTTTTCTGTATGTTCCATTGTGCCTAGTACACTGTAAATGCTTAATAAATACTAATGATGGGAGGCAGGGAGTCCTGATGATAAGGGTGAGAAACTGAAATCCCAAATACCGTTTTGTTGCTTGTTTTATTATGACCTAAGATTAAATTGAGAAATACTGGCCTTTTTGGAAAATTGTCCCAAATATTGCATTCAAATAAAAGTGCAATGAAAGAAAAAACCAGAATGGGTAGAAAGGAAGATGTGGCTATTCACTCTGGGTGGTGGGAGTGGAAAAACCCAAGTGAGAGAGATGAGAGGGTGTAAGATGTATCTGGGGACTGACTCGGGAGTAGGAATCTTTTGGACTTAGGGAAGGAGAGCTTGAGAAAGCAGGTTATCGATAGCTCTAGGAAGAAAGGCTCCTAGGTGTTCAGATAAAAGGTTAGGACTTAGGTAGACACTGGAGGCTCCTGGAGATGTTTGGGCAGCATTGTCATAAGAGTTTTTAAATGTTCTTTAGAAAGTTAATCTGGCAAGATAGACAAGAAGGAAGAGAGCAGGAAGGGAGAAGGATGAGAAAATCATTTAGAAGCTATTGCGATTGCTCAAACAAAAGATAAAGAAGCCCACTCTAAGGTGGAAATGCAGAGCAGGCACAGACGCCTGCACAGCCGGAGGTGGTAGTCCCTCTGTATGGGATCTGCCAAACACACCTCAAGAATGTGGCTGGGGAAAGACAGTGGGCTCAGTTTCAGACTTGCTGATTTTGAGGTACAGGGGGCATATCTGGAATGGGAGAGAACAGAGTTGGAAGAAACAGGACTGGAAACTAGAAGAGGGCTCAGACCTACAGCTATACCTCTGTGAGACCACCACGATAGAGAGATGGCTGAAGTTGGACTACAGCGATTGTCCCAACAGCTCAGACACTCAAATGTTCTGTAACAATCAGGAGAAAAAACAGGAGCTGAAGCTGGTGGGGATGGTGGTAATTCATTACACAGCCACATGAAAATTGGAAGCAAACTAAATACCAACCAGAGGAAATGTGGCCCATTTCCCTTTGAAGGGCGTGTTTGGAAACGTGTGAATGCATATTTAGTTTGCACAATGGCCCAAGTAAGGGTGATGCTCAGCAGCAAAGGATGTTAAAAGTCCTACAACGTAATTGATAAAACAAGAACTGTCTCAACCAAATGCCAGTAGTATGCTTATTAATAAGGAAGCAGTGATAATCAAGTGTGTATCATGGCTAATTACAGTGTAATTTTAAGCTGAAACTGAAGTGTTTGATGAACCACTTTTGCCTTTTTTTCCTGACAAATTAAGCTCAACATGTTCAAACCTGAACTAACTCATCAGCTTCCCCTCAACCTTTGTAAATGGGAAAATGGTCCAACCACTTAATCTAGAATTCTACCTTTATCTTAGCTTTGCGTTCCACCGAATCTTTGACACTTTATGTACCACCTCTCTTCTGAAGAGACCAAGTGTGTCACTGTCCAATTCTCCATGAACAAGCCACATTCCAGGGAGAAGAATGGAGAAAGTGGCTCCATCAACCCAATCAAGCAGAGCCATGAGCACAACATGGCAGGATGGAGTCAGTTCCCCAGTCAAAGAACCACTAGGAACATCTGTGCTTAGTTCTACAGGCTTCCTGCTTTGGTGCTTCCTTCTATCCGAAAACCTTGCAGACACGTACCTACTTGTGACTGAGCAACCATAGTGGACTTTCGGTCACACAGAGGAGAAAAAGGCAGCCCCAGCTCTGCTTCTCTGTCTCCCTAGAAAAATAAAAGGTCATAGTAAATTAAGAAACAGTAGGCTGAGTCATCCAGATTTCATTTAGCAACTTTCACTGCCACGGAGGCCACCGGTCTTTATTTTAATTATTAGAATTACATTATATTACTTTATTAATAAAATATTTAATTATTAAATCAAAATATATGCATTATAGTATCACACTATAATAAGTCTTTATGGAGACTGCCTCTCTACATAAAAGGCAACAAAAGGCTGAAGCCCTCTGGGATCCAATAGTTGCACCTAACTGCAAAGCTCGTGCTCTTGTAAAGAAAGCTTCACTGGGCAGTACTGGGACCTCCATGGAAAATAAGGCAACAGGCAATATATCATGTGGCCTGGAGCAGCACTGCAGTCATCCTGGGTCAACCTGTGGCCTTTGTTTAGTTAGTGAACTCCTCTTTGTTGTGGGCAGTGTCTGAAACTAAAATTCAAATTGAACTGATTCAGATGGATTCTCCTAGTGCTGCCTAAAGCCACACATTTGGTGCAAGTGCTTCTGGCTTCTAAGCCTCAGAGGTCATTCCATAATTAAAAGTGGACCAAAAAGAGCCAGAATAAATGATTGCTTGTGTCTATAATGCCAGACAACAATAAAACACAATTGTCTGACCAATATATTCTCAATCTCACCAAAAGGTATCACCATAATAAGCAAGTGCTATGGAAAGTCTAAATAATGATAAACATGTTTTTTAAAACCTTGGACCAGAGGCTGAATACTTGTTGTACCCCCAGAGGAAAGGGAAAAATATGTCACCCTTCTTATACTAGTGAAGCTGTACTAATTCATTTTACTGGCTCTGGATAATAGCTACTGACTTGGGCTTGAATCCTGTCTTTCTCCTACTAGATGTGTGATAGATCATAGGTGGGTTATTTTCCTTCCATACAGTTCAGCTTTTGTCACTTGTTAAATGTGGGATAGTAATCTCTACCTTATAGGGTCATAAGGATGAAAGAGAAACATGTATGTAAATGAATATAAAGAACTACTCTTGTTTCCCAGTAGGTGGTTCTAATATTTTACGTCAAGATTTGAGAAATGTTAAGTGAATTTGTGCACGAATACACTCTGATTGTAATAAGTACTGTCAATAAATTAATATAATAGCAAATAAAGGGTAGTAACAACCTTCAAGCAGGCCTGGTTCAAAACTGAATGATTCTTCCTTCTAAGGCATGCTACTGAAGAGAACGGATGCCAGCTCACACGTAGCATCAACTGAAAGGACGGAAAAGGAGTGTGTGTCTGAGGAAGCTGAACAGCGGGGTCACAGTGGAAGCTGGGGATATTCAAGTGTCACTGGAATAGTCCTTAAGTGGCTCAGTTCCTTCTGCATCCTCTTCCTGTATAGATACCCCAGGGGACACAATGGCTTCTTTATTTCAAGTATGCTCTGCTGAAAACTGCTCTGTCTGTCAAGTGGCATGATAAAAATGATTTCTTCCTGAGTGATTTCTACGTAGGTGTTATGTAGAAAAGGAAGCGTATTTGTAACATAAATTCTAGTGATGTAGATGGTTTAGTGGGATAGTTCAGCTAAAACAAATAAAACCCATTATATTCCCATGGAGCAGGGATACAAATCGTTCTGTCAGTACATTTTAATAGGGAGGGTGTAAACCCTCTCCATTTGACTATTAAAGGATAAACACTAATTTGGATTTCATTACTGAACAATAACCTGATATTAAAAAACGAATTCCATGAACTTGTCCATACTCAAATATACACATAATTTATATGTTTTGTATTTAATAAGCTGTGTACACTCAAGTATTAAAAGCCTACTTTTAAACAGAGGTAATTGAATTACCTTTGGAAAACAGATATGAATTGAAAACAAACAATGCTGGTAATAATGTAGAGAAACAAACTTCTACTGATGAGTCCTACTTGAGGAATAACACAACACTCTATGACCCTATAGCTGTAGCTTAAAATTATTCACACACTTTCCTCTTTATTGAAAAGGTCAACATTTTCAAAAAAGGGTGAAGTCCCTATTTACAAAGGATTTTTTTAAACTCACTCATTTTTTTTCCTCCTGGAAAGCTGAGAAAAATAAATATCATTCTTGTGATATGGGTTAAGATAACTCCACCTAATAAAGTCATATAGTTGGTATGCAGAAGGAAGATAATGAATATTTGTTGAATAAATGAAAAGACCAATTTGATTAGAAACACTCCAGTTCCTTTGGCCACTCAGACATTTATGACAGACAGACTAAAGAGAGCAATTAGGCAGGTAGCTGTTCACTAAACCCCCATTCTTCTCCTCCATTTCCTGTCTACACAGCCAGACTCCATTGCCCAGAATCGCTGCCAGTTAGTGCTCAAGAACAGAATAAGAGAAGGGATGCATTTCTACCACAGTTCAGGCTGACATGTCGTATTTCTACTTCTCCATGTTTTCCTCTGTTTGCTGGCTTGATGTAGACAAGCAGAAATACAAGGTAGATGGCAGAGTATGGTCTGAAATCACTGATTATTATAGAACCACCTGCCAGTTAAGAAACATGCATCCTATTCCTTACATGAGTGAGTGCAAAACTTCCATTTACGTGTGCTATTACACATTTAGGGGTTTGTTTGTTATGGTAGCTATATATAGGCTGCAGACCAGTCAAAAGAAACAAGGATTCCATCTGTATTGGAAGTTCACAGAGAGATGGCATCTATCAATGTGAAGGTTCCAAAGACATTTAGGTAATATCTCAAGTGAGTCTTTTCAGGTAAAATGAAGAAAAGGGAAATGTTTGAGGAAACAACAGAAAAATCAGATGAACAAAACACAGTAATGTATATTCTTCTTTCCCAGGGGAAGCAGGCACAAATACAACATAAAAGAAAGGCACTGTAATGTTGGATTTAAGGTAGCATAGTAAAGTTTTAGCTCTTTCCGAAATTATCACCTCAAAAATAAGGAGGGTAAGAAACAGAAATGCAATTGCACATCGTAGGGAAAACCTGTAATTTCAAATCAAAACTATATTATAAAGGGCTGCCAAATGCTGTAAATATCAGAGAGGAATGAGGAAGATGCCAAGAGGGTAGGTAGAGAATAGATACTGAGTTGCAAGAGGCCCTACAACTGCTGTTCACTATAGTCTTGGAAAAAGTAAAGGGACACACACACACATACACACACGCATGCACATATCATGCACACACCACTTCATAGGACACTCATAATAATGCAAGGACAATTCTAGATAGCTTAGAATTCTATTGCTCCGACTGCCCTGTGGTACAAATCTGCAAATACTTGGTCTGAAATAAATACATTTCACTCACAGATGGTAAATAATAATAACAAAGTGAAAAAGAAAAGAAGGGAGGAAGAAAGGGGCAAAAGGAAGAGTAGAAGGAGGAAGAGGACAAAGATGATGGAGAAGAAGAGGAAGGAAAAGAGAAAAAAAAAAGCAAAGGGAGGAGAAGCAAGTATTATACCATCAGCAGCAGAAGCAGGAATAAAGGACTTGAGACAAACAATAGGTGGGGAACACTTGTCAGAAAAATAGTGCCACTATTAATAGAAGGAAGCTCCTGAAATTATGAAGAACAAGAGATCAGGGGAATGGGACCTAGCAGAGCACAGGAAAGACACTGAAAAGAAAACCAGAACCATCACATGAAAGCAGATTGTGCTGGAAGCATCTCAGGGAACTGAATCAATAAGAATAAAAATACCAATGAAGGCACTATAAACAAAAAGAGAAACAATAAAACAATCAGATAATTTCACAGAGAAAAAGGAAAAAACTCACCAACACGTGTAATAAATAAAAATGGGAAAACTACCATAGACACAGATTAAATTAAAAGAATGGTAAGAGATGTTTGCAAAATGTCAAATTATACAGAAATAGAAACAAAATGAGCATAACAGTTTTTACAACATGATGGATTTACCAATGAGGTGAATTTACACTTCTTTGAAGTCAATATTTCATCAAAAAAGACCCTGAGGCAGTGGATTGGATTTTGTAAATTATGGTTATAAAACTGAAGATGTAACCTACTCACCATCAGCATTGAGACTATCCCTTTATTTTAAAATACAATCCAACTTTTAAATGTAATTTTTAAAAATAACTGTCCAATTTAAAGTCTATAGTTAAGAGCTGACGCAACATTTCTCCTACATGTGTTACTATAGCTTATGGCATCTAGATTAAAATACTGAGTCAATAAAAACAATTTTCTGAATTGTAATTACTAAAAAATCGTAATTACCAAAAAACAGTTCCAGTCCAATGAATTAACAGTCCCTTCCTAACAGGCAAAAAATTCAATACTGTTATTTTCATATTGCCTCCAGCATGTTTTTATTCAAGTATACGTGTGAACAAGTTTTCCTTTATGAGGAAAAAAAATTGTTCATATGTTTAAGTAATTCATTTCTACTTCCTCATAATCAGAAAAAGGATCACTTTAATACTGCAAACTTATATGAGTTAGCTATTATCTCCCCTTCAGCCATGGACCAATTACTCGTAGCCATCGGGGCTGTGATATGGTTTGGCTCTGTTCCCACCCAAATCTTACCTTAAATTGTAGCTCCCATAATTCCCATGTGTTGTGGGAGGGACCTGGTGGGAGATACTTGAATACTGTGGGCTGTTTCCCCCATTCTGTTTTCTTGATAGTGAATAAGTCTCATGAGAGCTGATGGTTTTACAAGGGGAAACCCCTTTCACTTGGTTCTCATGCTCTCTGTTTGCTGGCCCCCGTGTAAGACACCCCTTCATTCTTCCTTCGACCTTCACCACAGTTGTGAGGCATCCTAGCCATTTGGAACTGTGAGTCAATTAAATCTCTTTCCTTTATAAATTACCCAGTCTTGGGTATTCTTTATCACCAGTGTGAAAATGGATGAATAAAGTAAATTGGTATTGGTAGAGTGGGGTGCAACTGTAAAGATACCTGAAAACGTGGAAGCGAGCTTGGAACTAGGTAACAGGAAGAGATTGGAACAGTTTCGAGAGGTCAGAAGAAGATAAGAAAATGCGGGAAAGTTTAGAACTTGCTAGAGACTTGTTGAATGGCTTTAAACAAAATGCTGATAATATAGACAATGGAATCCAGGCTAAGGTGGTCTCAGATGGAGATGAGGAACTCACTGGGAACTGGAATAAAGAGGATTCTTGCTGTATTTTAGCAAAGAGACTGACAGCATTTTGCCCCTGCCCTAGAGATTTGTGGAACTTTGAACTTGAGGGAAATGACACAGGGTATCTGGCAGAAACAATTTCTAAGCAGCAAAACATTCAAGAGGTGACGTGGGTGCCATTAAAAACAATCAGTTTTAAAAGGGAAACAGCGCGTAAAAGTTCAGGAAATTTGCAGCCTGGTAATGCAATAGAAAAGAAAAACCCATTTCCTGGGGAGAAATTCAAGCCTGCTGCACAAATTTGCAGAAGTAACAAGGAGCCAAGACAATGGGGAAAATGTCTCCAGAGCATGTCAGAGACCTTCTCAGCAGCCCCTCACATCACAGACCTAGAGGCCTAGGAGGGAAAAATGGTTCTGTGGGCCCAGTCCAGGGCCTCCCTGCTGTGTGCAGCTTAGGGACTTGGTGCCCTGCCTCTCAGATGCTCTAGTCATGGCTAAAAGAACCTAGGTACAGCTCAGGCCATGGCTTCAGAAAGTGCAAGCCCCAAGCCTTGACAGATTCCATGTGTTTTCAAGCCTGCAGATACACAGAAGTCAAGAATTGAGGTTTGGTAACCCCTGCCTAGATTTCAGAGGATGTATGAAACCACCTGGATGCCTAGGCAGAAATTTGCTGTAGGGGCAGGACCCTCATGGAGAGCCTCTGCTAGGGTAGTGTGGAAAGGAAATGTGGGGTGGAAGCCCTCACACAGAGGCCTTACTGAGGCACTGCCTAGTGGAGCTGTGAGAAGAGGGCCACCATTCTCCAGACCCCAGAATGGTAGATCCACTGATAGCTTGCACCTTGTGCCTGGAAAAGCAGCAGACACTCATTGCCAGCCCATTGCCTCCCTTTGCAGGAGGGAGGCTGCACCCTGCAAAGCCACAGAGGCGGAACTGCCCAAGACCATGGGAATCCACCTCTTACATCCGTGTGACCTGGATGTGAGACCTGGAGGCAAAGGAGATCGTTTTGGAGCTTTAAGCTTTGACTGTCCTGCTGGATTTGGAACTTGCATGGGGCCTGTAACCTCTTTGTTTTGGCCAATTTCTTCCATTTGAAATGGCTGTATTTACTCAATGCTTGTATCCCTATTGTATCTAGGAAGTCACTAACTTGTTTTTGATTTTACAGACTCATAGGCATAAGGGACTTGCCTTTTCTCAGACAAGACTTTGGACTGTGGACGTTTGAGTTAATGTGGAAATGAGTTAAGGCTTTGGGAACCTGTTGGGAAGGCATGATTAGTTTTAAAATGTGAGAACATGATATTTGGGAGGGGGCAGGGTGGCATAATATGGTTTGGCTGTATCTATACCCAAATCTCATCTTAAATTATAGCTCCCATAATTCCATATGCTATGGGAAAAACCCAGTGAGAGATGAGTGAATCCTGGGGGAGATTCCCCCGTACTGTTCTTGTGGTGGTGATAAGTCTCATGAGATCTGATGGTTTTATAATGGGGAAACCCCTTTTACTTGGTTCTCATTCTCTCTCTTTGCTGGCTGCCATGTAAGATGTCCCTTTATCCTTCTGCCATGATTGTGAGGCCTCCCCAGCCATGTCGAACTGTGAGTCAATTAAACCTCTTTCCTTCACAAATTACCCAGTCTTGGGTATTTCTTTATTAGCATCATGAGAACAGACTAATACAGGGTGATATTGCAAAAGTATTATCAAAGAAAGCATATTATAAGGAGAGTGGAGATTTGGAGAACACCCTCTTACTACTATTAGAAAAACAGCCTTTGGAAAAATAGCTCAAAAGAAACCCTTGATGAAGGATGAATTTGCAGAGTCACCTGTGGAGTTCTAGTTCCCCCACCATGGAGTTCCCTTTGAGAACTACTCTGGGAAGCTGAGCAATGACTTGGCAAAGAGAAATAACCATACACTAAATAGGGTACCTGTTGACATACACATATAAACAGCTGGGGGGTGCAGTGGCATGTGTGTGTGCATGTGAACCATAGACAGAGTGAAGGAAATGCCTTCTGTTTCATAACAAAGGGTCTTAAGAAAACATCTGGCCCAACCTTATCCTAAATCCCTCCCTTCCCCTGACTCCCCCTACCTCAGTCATAGATAAGACCGTAGGGAATTAGAAAAGCAATTTGATTAGACTCAGGCCATAAATCAGTTGAAATAAAAAACTCCAATAAAGGATCTTCTCACATTTGTTTAACATACTATTAACTCTAGCCCTACTTCATTACTAGAGAGTATGCACAGCTTCAGAAGGAAAACACATACACATGCACACACACGGGTGCCTTCTACAGTTTCTCCATTCAAACTCGAAATGTAAGAGTAAGAATAACCACAAGAGTAATTCTCTTTCAGAAATCTAAATAAATAGCAAAAGAGCCCATCTCTTGTTAGTTTGCGACATGAAGTTGTGACTCGTGTTAAGTGGTATTTTATGGAATCAGAGGTCTCTGAATCCATGCTGTTGAACCTCTTGTCTTGAATGAGCAAGAATTAACTGAATTAGCTGTATTAACTTGAATTAATTATAATTTAGGTCCCCAAATCTATGTATCAAGCCTTCAATCTCAGGCCCAAATGTCTGGTGGCAGATGTTTGAATGGCAGCAAGTCTAGAGATAAGGTTAGTGCACATGCCTGAATTTGAGAAGACTTTGGTTTTTGGTGCTATGCATTTATTTCCTTTCTACTTCTCTAGTTCTATGCATTTTTTAAATTTGCTTTTAAACAATTTTTACTAATTGAAGATCCTGCTGATTCTTATAGACAACACAACTCTGGAACTTAGGATGTAGTCAAGTTTAAATATTATTGGGATCGTAGTTTCTAGTGATTTCCGGACCCCAAATTGCCACATCTGGTTTTGAATTTTGCATCATGGACTTGTCCACTAGAAAGAAACAACCCAACCAATTATAATAGAAACATGAGTTCAAGTTAACATCTTAATCCTGGCTGGATGCAGTGGCTCATGCCTATAATCCCAGCACTTTGGGAGGCTGAGGCAGGTGAATCACTTGAGGTCGGGAGTTCAAGAGCAGCCTGGTCAACATGGTAAAACCCCATCTCTACTAAAAATACAAAAATTAGCTAGGCGCAGTGGTAGGCACCTGTAATCCCAGCTACTTGGGAGGCTGAGACAGGAGAATCACTTGAACCCAGGAGGCAGGAGTTGCAGTGAGCCAAGATCATACCACTGCACTCTAGCCTGAGCAACAAGGAGCAAAACTCTATCTTAAAAAATAAAACTTAATCCTACAAGATGATGGCAAAGTAACTGCCATTTTGTCAAGTCACTATAAATAAAAAAGGACAAGAACCCCTCTAATAACATTTTGACAAAAGACTGCCACAAGGAAACATTTTTTTCCCCAAACGGAAAAGCACAGGATAGAAATACCACAATGTCCTGAAAATCAGTATTTAGGCAAGATTGAAACATCACATGACCAAGAAGCAGAACAATCTGTGGAGCCACCCCCCCCCTCAAAATTACTGTAATCTCAATAGTCCTTATCCTAGCATTGCTAAGATATGAAATTCATAAGATATCCAGTGATGACGGCCCTGATGGACAGACAGCAACGGAGTACCTGTCTGAAGAACTCCTCCAGAAGTGACATTGTCCAGCGATGATGGAGGTCCCACGCCTTTGCTGGATGGCTAATATCCGCTGTATGCAGCATAAGGGATAAGGCTTTCGGCTTTTCAATGCTGTCAACCAAAAGCACCCAAACACATGATGACCACACTCTTTAAAACCTCAATAAGAGTTTTTTTTTAACAGTTACTAATTTTTAAATTTATTTCATTCTTCCATCTCAACCCCCCCTTCAGCTAAATTGAGGAAAAGGCATCACTTCGTGCTACAACTGGGATACTCATTAACTTGGTATCTATATTTACTGAACTGGACTCTCTGAACTCCAATCCATTTCTAGAATTACTGCATCCTTCAAAAAGACAACAAGAATCCAAGAGTCACTGACTTTCATCTGTTGCTTCTGCATTGGGGATCTCTGTGGGGACAACTGATACTGCCTCTATTATTTCTATCAACTCTGATGAGAACATATCTCGTTAGGATAGGTAAAATTTTATGCTTTCTCCTTCACACGTCACCATCGTATGAGAACACTCAATAAAGTTGTGTTAAAGGAGATGCTCGTTAAAGGGGTCACCACCTGGACAAGGACCCATTCAAACACCTGTACGAACACAAGCACAAGCCGCAAGCACACTTACGCTTCTGGCTGCTGCAGAGCAGTCTTCATTGCTTTGATTTGTTGGAAGTGACAAGACATATCCGTGGCCATCACCATCTCAATTACCAAGGTTCGAAACTCCCTATCAGAAACAACCATGGAGAAAAAAGGATGGAAGTCAAAATGGAAAGTAAAAATCTGTTAATGTTTTGGCCACTGCTAATCAAAATCAGTTAACTATTTCTGACATTTCTAATCTAATTTGGGTCTTTAAGGTGGGCTTTTAAAATAAGGAATAAACAAAAGTTAAGGATTAAGGAAATAATTAGGAATATGATGCATGGAATATACACATTGTTTGGAAAATTAACTCCCAGGAAAAAAATTCAATGAAACTGCAAAGTGCATTAATATGCTCTTTTCTCCAAGTGAATTCACAGGTTTTAAAAATAATTGACTTGAAAATAATCCTAGGAGGTAGACTGATCATCCATATCACATTGGATATAGGTATTCCATTTTTTCAAACCCCCAATAGCTTGATTTTTTAGTAGAGTTTTAGGTAGAAAACTCGAGCTAAAATTGAGAAAATTTGAGAAAAATTGAGCTCCCATATAACCTCTCTTCCTGCAGAGTTTTCTTATTTTTAAAATCTTGTGTTAATGTGGTGCATTTGTTACAATTAGTGAACCGATATTGATACATTATGTTAACTACAGTCCATAGTTTACATTAATGTTCATTGGGCATGTTTCACAGTTCTACCAGTTTTGACAAATACATAGTACTATGTATCCGCCATTACAGCATCCACACAGAATAGATTCAGCACCCTAAAATCCCCTGTGCTCCTTTGATTCACCCCTCTCTCTTTTCTCTCGACCACCGCCAATCACTGATATTTTTACTGTCTCTAACAATTTTTTTGAGGTATAATTCACATGAAATAAATTGCTTACAATTTCTATAAATTGCACAATTTAATGAGTTTAACAGTTGAATAAGTTTTTGAACATACTACTGTAATCATGATACCAAATATTTCCATCACCTTCAACTTAGCCCCAGGCAAAGTTTGATCTGGCTTATGTCTATCTAGAATAGTTTGAATTTTCTAGCTTTATATATATGTATATAAAGTATATACATATATATTTAATATATATTTCAATATCTATATATAATATATACACATTTATATATACACTTCATACATATATACACATGTAGACATACATATATGCATATATATGTATTATATATTTAAAGTGTATTTATGTATGTCTATATGTATGTACATGAAAAATGTGTGTATATGATATATACACATATTTTAAAATATAATAAATACTATATTATATACTCATACATACACATTATACAGTAACATAGATACTAGATACATATACACGTTTCTATGTATATATATAGACACACACACATAATATAGTACAAAATGTACTCTTCCTTTACTCAGCCCAATGATTTACAATTCTTCTATATAGTAGTTCATCAACAGTTCATTTTTTCTTATTACTGAGTGGTATTCTATCATATCAGCATACCACAATTTGTTATCCATTTACCAGCTAAGGGACATGGGAGTTGTTAGATTCTAGTTTGGGGCTATTGTGCTATTGTGAATAAAGCTACTATGGGTATTCATATGTAAATCTTTGTGTAGACACATATGTTTTTATTTCTCTGGGGCAAAAATCTAGAAGTAGAATGGCTGGTTTATAAGATAGCCGAATGTTTATAAGAAACTGCCAGCTGGGCGTGGTGGCTCACACCTGTAATCCCATCACTTTGGGAGACTGAGGCGGGTGGATCACCTGAGGTCAGGAGTACGAGATCAGATGGTGAAACCCCATCTCTACTGAAAATACAAAAATAATCCAGTTGTGGTGGCATGCACGTGTAGTCTCAGCTACTCTAGAGGCTGAGACAGGGTAATTGCTTGAACCCTGGAGGCAGAGGTTGCAATGAACTAAGATTGTACCACTGCATTCCAGCCTGGATGACAAAGTGAGACTCCATCAAATGAAGAAAGAGAGAAAGAGAGAGAGACAGAGAGGGAGGGAGGGAGGGAGGGAGGGAAGGAAGGAAGGAGGAGGTGGGGGGGAGAGAGAGAGAGAAACTGTCAAGTATTTTGCAAAATGGTTGTTTCACTTTACATTTGGTCACTGGTGTAAAACATTTTCCGTTTTTCTTTGCCTATTCTAATCAGTCTTCAATTTCAGCCATTCTTCTTACGGATATGTAGTGGTATCTCATTGTGGTTTTAATTTACAATTCTTTGATGACTAATTATGTCAGGCACATTTTCATGTACTTATATTCCATTTGTATTTATTTTTCAGAAAAATGTGTTTCAAACCTTGCTTATTTTAAAATTGAATTGTTTTCTTATTAGTGTTATAATAGTACCTTACACATTTTGGATTCAAATCTATGTAAAATATATGTGTTGTGAATAATTTTTCCAATTTCTTGTCTTGCTTTTTTTTAACAGTGTCTTCCAAAGAGCAAAAGGTTTTAATTTTTATGAAGTTCAATTTATCACTTAAAAAAATGCTTCAAGCATTTTCTGTCCTGTCTAAGAAACCTTCACCTACTTCCAAGCATTTAGCTGTTTTCCTCTACAAGTCTTGCCATTTTAGCTTTTACATTTAGGTCTATAACCAATTTTGAGTTATTTTTTGAGGATGGTATACAGTAAGGGTCAAAGTTATTTTTTCCCATTGTTCCAAAACCATTTATTGAAAATATTTTCTTTTCCCCATTGAATTAATTTGGCACCTTTGTCACAAATCAATTGATAAGTAAATTTCAAAACTCTCAATTCGGTCCCATAGATATGTATGTCCTTCTTATACCAATGAAATGCTGCCTTGAATACTGTAACTTAAGCATGTTTCAAAATTAAGACATATGAGTCCTCTAACCTTGTTCTTCATTTAAAAAGTATTTTATTTGCATTTCTATATAAAGTCTATAATAATCGTGGCAATTTCCAACATAATTCTACTAGAATTTTAATTGGACCTGTATTGAAACAATACATAAAGTTTGGAAGATTTGACATCTTTACAATATCAAGTGTTCCACTGCATGATGACAGTGTATCTCTCAATGTACTTAGGTCCTCTATAATCAGCAATATTAAGTTGTCTTCAGTGAACATGAGTTGCATTTGTTTTTGAAAGCTACTACTAAGTATTTTATATGTTTTGTGCTATTGTAAAAAATTGTTTCATTTTCCAATGGTTTGCTGGTAATCTCTCTCGCTCCTCCTCCATCCCCCCCTCTCTCTATATATGTATATGTGCACATATGTATATGCATATATATAATATTTTTTACATTAACCTTGTATCCTGTGACCTTGTAGAATTCATATCATTTCTAATAGCTCCTTTACAGATCCTTAGGATTTTCTACTTAGACAATCATGTCATTTGCTATTAACATCTTAACAATGTTGATGAAAGCAAAATCAAGCATGCTTGTCTTGCTCCCAGTCTTATGGAAAAAGCATTCAGTATTTCATCATTAAGCTTGATGTTAGTTAAAGATTTTTTACACATGCCCTGTATCTCACTGAGGACATTCCCTTCTGTTTCTGGCTTGCCTAAGGTTTTTATCAGACATGAGTGTTGAATTTTGTCAAATACTTGTTATACATCTATTAAAAGAACTTATGATTTTGTTTGTTTTTAAATATGGTGAATTCCTTCAATTAATTTTGAATGCTGAATTATTCTTGTGATAAGCCCAATATATGAGTCAGGATTATCGAGAGAAACCAATAGGATATATACACATACGGAAAGAGATTTATTGTAAGGAAGTGGCTCACAACCTTGTTACAAAGGTTGACAAGTCCCAAGATCTGCAGGGTAAATCAGCAAGCTGGAGATCCACGACATTCAATGTTGTACTTCCAACTTGAAGGCAGAAGCTACTAGGCAGAAATAATTATCTCTTACCTGGGAGGGGGTCAGCCTTTTTGTTCTAGTTAGGCCTTCAACTGGTTGAATGAGGTCCACTCATGTTAGGAAGAGCAATCTGCTTTACTGAGTCTACCCTCTTATATGTTAATCTTATCCAAAAATGCCCTCACAGAAACAACAAAATAATGTTTCACTAAATATCTGGGCACACTGAGGCCCAGGTGAGTTGACACATAAAATTAGCTATCACAAATGATATATAATCTTTTTAGTATATTGTTATATTCAGTTAGTTAATATTTTACTGAGGATTGTTATAACTATGTTCATAAAAACATTAGTCTTTAATATTCCTTTTTATCAATTTTTTTGCTAGAATATGGTATCAAAATTATATTTTAGAAAATAAATTAAATAGTATTTCTGACTTCTCTAAATAAATTTGCATAAGATTAGTATTATCTCTTCTTTGCATATTTGACAGAGTTCACCAGTTAAATTATCCAAGGCTGAATATTTCTTTGTGGGAATATTTTTGATGACAAAGTCAATTTTTTAACAGACATAGGGCTGTTCAGACTTTCTATTTCATCTTATGTGAATTTTAAGTTACATTTTGCAAGGAATTTATTCACTTAATCAAAGTTGTCAAATTTGTTGAGATAAAGTTGTTTGTAACATTTTCTTATGTATTTCATATATATAGAATCTAATATTGGTTCTTGTGATCTCTCACTTTTTTATTCACCAATCTAAGTAGAAGGTTGTCAATCATGTTGCTCTTTTCAAAGAACCGGCTTTAGCTTTGTTAATTTTTTCTTTTTTCCCCTATTTTACTGATTTTCCTCTTGTCATTATTAATTTCTTCTATCTACTTTGAATTTACATTACTCTTTTTTTTCCAGCTTCCTGGAAAAAGTTGGAATGACTATTATGTTTGGCACTTTCTTCTTTCCTACTATGAACATTTATACCGGTAAATTTCCTCGAGGCACTGTTTTAACAGTATTGCACACATTTAATATATTGCATTTTCATTCTTGATAAATTTGAAATGTTTCCTGGTTTCCTCTGATTACTTTTTGATCACACATTATTTAGAAGATTGTTGTTTAATTTTCACATATATGAGGTTTTCAAATATACAAGGTTTTTCTAGGTATCTTATTTTTATTGATTTCTAATT